TAAACGAGTTTGTAAATCCGCAGAACTTATTCTTCATTTCCCGTCTCTTTATTCGCACTCGATAAATCTCAATATTATTATTACAACTTCCCAAATAGCACAACAATACGCGAAACCGGCATAACCCACGCTACACTGGCTGCTTCGAACTCCCTAACGGCACTTTCTACGTGTACAACATAAACTTCTCCATCGGCACTTTACCCTGGCGTAGCACTAGAAAGTTAAGTTGCGATGTGAACGCAACATTACGTCTAAAAAATACATAGAACGAAGGCCGTTTTTGCCTCCGTACGTTCCAATAATGCGGTTTGCGGGGCGAAAGTGTTTTTGTCTGTTCCAAAGTGGATTTTAAATGCAGGGAAAGGATGGTAGCAGATCGTACGGCTTGTTAAAGTCATTTTGTAGTGATCCGATAGAAGAAGTGGATATTTTAAATCGGTTGTCCCGTGAGGCGTGTAAAAAGCTGCCTCCGACCGAGCGTAAAACGCACTACTCGCATATTATCCTAGAGCTTCGATCGGGACTTTCGCAAACTCATGAGCTTCGAAAAGTTTATAATTTTTTTTCGTATTAAAATAACTGAGAAAAAATTTAACTGAAAACCCCGAATATCTAACCACGAGTCAGGTTGAAAGCTACGTTTTCAATTTTTCGCAGGAAATTTATTTCGGTAACCCCCACACGCGATACATCATTCTGAATAGCTATTGTGGATCGACGTCTTTTGAAGCCATTTATATGATTATTATCTTGTAAACAATTTTTTGGATCATTTTGGATTAGTCGCAACGGTGATGACAGATTGATGCTCCTATTTGAACAGTTCTACATGTAATTCACAAAAGTAAACATTAATCAATTTTCAAGATTAAAAAAGTTCTGTTTAACTAATGCATACACAGTGTAATATTGGTTCCATCCCACGCCAGCCGCTGTTAAATTTATTGTATAGCTTTTAAATTTTCAGTTTCAGTTTTTACGAAAGCCACTTCAACACGGCCATGCATTTTTCATAAGTGCAGCAACATAATTGCTGAATTCGAGTGTCTGCCAGTGGTTAATAATTTATTCGCAAAGCTCGATTGTGTGAACTAGTTGTATTTGGACAAAAGTGAGCCATGGAATTTTTCTTCGCGTTGGATAAACTGGTTCGTTAACAACGACATTCCGACTTCTGTCGTTAGAATTTAAAATGCCGAAAATGATTTTGTTAGAACAAACAATTTCCATAAAAAGGTGTTATCTGCAAATGAAAAAAGGTATCCCAACTCAAGCGTGAAAAATTAATAGTGAACATATTTTCTGCGACTTTTTTTAAACTTTTTAAATATTTGTATAAATAAGCATACATTAATTTCCGCACCCAAGCTGGTCCAAAGTCGAATATTATTGCTTTCATCTGTGTGTTTTTTAATTCGCATCGATTTTTGAAGTTTTTAAGGTTCTTAGCTTTTCGATTTTAGGATTCCTCAGTTTTTCGATTTTTATTTTGGAGTTCTTGCATTTTTTAACTTTTTGTTGTCGATTTTTCAGTTTCTCGATTGTTATTTCGTCAGTTTTTTCAAGTTTCAATGTTTTAATTTTTATTTTTTTCAATTGTTGATTTTTTCGTTATTCGATTATTTACTTTCGCTATTTTTTCAACATTTCGGTATTTCAATTTTTTTTATTGTTCAACAAAAGGACAAATTTATTCAAACTGAACTTTTGAAAAACCGAAAAATTTTAACACTGAAACATCAAAAAACAAAATAATTAAAAATCGACAAATTGAAAAAATCTACAAAAGGAAACAATTTACAGTTTTTCGATGTAAAATTTTTCAAATTCTCAACTTTTAATTCTTTATTTTCTCGATTTTTCATTTTTTAATTGTTCAACGAAAGGACAAATTTATTCAAACCGAAATTTTGAAAAATTTTAAATTTAAAAATCTTGTAATCTTGAAACGTCTAAAAATTATAAAACTGAAAAATCAAAAAATAAAAATTGAGAAGTCGTAGAATTGAGAAAATAAAGAAAAATTGAAAAAACCGAAAAAATGAGAATCAAAAATTGAAAAATGAAACTTGAAATATCGAAAAATTTTAAAACTGAAAAATCGAAAAATGAAAAAATTAAGAAATCAATTGGATAATTCAAAAATCGAGAAATTGTAATACTGAAACCTCAAACCCTGATTAATTAAAATTCGAGACATTGAAAAATCGACAAAACGAAGCAATTCTGCAATTTTTCGATATCAAATTTTTCAAATGCTCCATTTTTAATTTTTATTTTCTCGATTTTTCATCTTTTAATTGTTCAACAAAGGACAAATTTATTCAAACTGAACTTTTGAAAAACCGGAAAATTGTAACACTGAAACATCAAAAAACAAAATAATTAAAAATCGAGAAATTGAAAAAATCAACAAAAAGAAACAATTTGCAGTTCTTCGATGTAAAATTTTTCTAATTCTCAATTTTTAATTCTTTATTTTCTCGATTTTTCATTTTTTAATGGTTCAACAAAAGGACAAATTTATTCAAACCGAAATTTTGAAAAATGTAAAAATGAGAAAATTGTAATCTTGAAATGTCTAAAAATTATAAAATTGAAAAATCAAAAAAATTTAAAATTGAGAAGTCAAAGAATTGAAAAAAATAAAGAAAAATTGAAAAAACCGAAAAAATGAAAATCAAAAATTGAAAATAAAACTTGAAATATCGAAAAATTTTAAAATTGAAAAATCGAAAAATGAAAAAATAAGAAATCAAACAAGTGAACAATTGAAAAAACAATTGAAAAGTCGGAAAATTGTAATATAGAACCCTGAAAACCCCGATTAATTAAAAATCGAGAAATTGAAAAATTGAAAAAACGAAAAACAAAAATTTCTATAAATTATATACTCAAAAATACAAAAATTTTTAATTTTGGAATCCAAAGATTTTCAAATGAAACTTGAAACATCGAAAAACTGAAAAATCGAAAAATGGAAAAATTAAGGAACGAATTGGATAATTCAAAAATCGAGAAATTGTAATATTGAAACCTCAAAACCCTGATTAATTAAAATTCGAGAAATTGAAAATGTTACTTCGACATTCCTCAACTTTTGAATTTTACAATTTGTGGGATTTTTCTATATCTAGAAAATTTAGTTTTCCGTGTTTTGAATTAATCAGTTTTTCGATTTTACAGTTTTTTTTTTCAATTTTTCAAATTTTCAGTTATCGAAGTTTACAGTTTCTCAAGTTTTCAGATTACAATTTTTAAATTTCTCGGTGTTTCAAGTTTCGTTTTTTCTATTTTTGATTTTCAATTTTGCAATGCGCCAACGTCATCAAAAAAGATTATAAGTGCAAAAAATTTATTTACAGCACATTATCAACGGGAATATATTACATCGGAAGAATGTCACGTAGACATTAGTTTGATTTGAATGAGTTTATCGCCCCAAAACAGATGACTAAAATTATTCATAAGCCTCCATTGAACAAAATATTCTAATTGTTATTATTACAAGTCTTACCTTATCATTATTTTATTGTTATAAAGACGAGCGTATTCTCACATTTTCCAAAAAATGGGGTGCCTCGTTCTTAATTTGATCAATAATAAATTGACTGATTCAATAATTTTTTTGAGTCACCAGTTTAAGCAAATCTAAAAAATATGAATGCGATGATTAAAAGTTCATATTTTGCACATTTGCGAAAGAGTTTATTCGGCAAAATTTTGAGATGGTATGTGATTTGCCAAAATCTGTCTTATCTTAGCAAGTTCTAGCCCCCCCCACCCACCCTCTCTTTCCTTGGAAGGTATGTCATTGGCAAAATCCGTCTTATCTTATTAAATACTTGCCCCGCCCACCCACCCTCTATTTTCTTATAGGATAAGTCATTTGCCAAAATCAGTCTTATCTTATCAAGTAATAACAAAAGTCAAAAAATTCAAAAGAAGAAAAATCAAATAGTCGAAGAAACGAAAAATTGAAGAAATGAAAAAACGAAGAAGCGAAGAAATGAAGAACTGCGTTATTCAAAAGACGTAAAACCCAAAAATTAATTGAAGAATGAAACATTAAAATATCCAAAAGATGAAAAACTGAAGAATTGAAAATCGAAAATCGAAAAAAGAAGAAATGAAAAGTTGAAAAAATCGGAAGACGAAATTGAATGAACGCAAAATTCCCTCTGTTCGATTTTTGGATTTTACAATTTCTCAATTTTTTGACTTTACAATTTTTCGAGAGAAGACACGTAAATAAAGAAAAATTAGAAATCGAGAATTTAAAAAATCGAAAAAAGGAGAAATGAAAAATTCAAACGGTGAAAAATAGAAAAATCCAACAATTCAAAAATTGAAAATTGAAAAATTGAAAATAGAGCATCTGACAAATCAAAAAGTCGGAAGACAGAAAAAGGAAACTTTTCCAATTTTGGATTTTTCGAATTAATCGTCCAAAATTTAAAAAATCGAAAAATTGAAAAGAAGAAATCGAATATTTGAAGAAAGGAAAAAACGAAAAAGAGAAAAAATTTTCGACTTTTCCACTATTCGATTTTGATGTTTGGATCTTTCGATTTATCAATTTTTGGATTTTTTGATTTTTCAGTTTCTCGATTTTGACTTTACGATTTCTCGATGGTTCGCCTCGACTTTTTGACTTTTTGATGGTTTTGGATTGTTTTAATTGTCATTGAGAATCTGAAAAATCGCAAAATTCAAAAGATGAGAAATCAAATAGTTGAAACGAAAAATTGATACAATTTAAAACCCATTTACTATGTACAATTTTGAAATGACGTCATCACATTAGTGGTGGGGATGATTAAACAAATTTCGGTTAGCGTTTTACCATCTACATGATGTACCTAATATAAATATAAAATTTGACAACGATTTACATGGCCTACCACGGAGAGTTCATTCAAACGTATCGAGAACGTATCAAAAACGTATCGTGGACGTAATCAAAACGTAGTGTAAAAAAACTCAGTGATACTCACACGAGCCGAACTTGAGCGGGCACCTCTGGATATCCATCGGAAAGTCCTCCAAATTCATAGGACATCCAGCTTTAATCGTCAATCTGAAAGAAGAGATGAATAATGTACCTAGTTTTTGTTAATTCAGGCTCCGGAATATGTAATTCGCAATTATCGAGTTCGGACGTTGAGCAAAAACCCGCTAAATTATGCACGTAAAAATCGGAATTAATTTTGCAAACCGTGTTATTGTGTGTAAATTTCATTATAAAGTTTGCTAAGTAGGACCGGATTAGAGACAAACGGCTTGATCACCGCCGGAACTTTTATTCCTAATTCCCTTAATTGACATAATCACTTGCAGAACTCTATTATAATTCTTTCATTATTCAAACGTTTCTCGGTTCTGGTACTTAGCGCGGATCACGAAATATTGCTCAATTTAATTATACCGGGAAGGGTGATTTACATTTATGTTTGGGATTTAGCGGCAGTTGTTGAAGAAATTTTACTTTTGATATTTTGCCGTAATTGAGAGCCAATTTCGTTCGCTATAATTAAGCACACAAGATTTTTTCTACTGAAAATTAATTTGAAAAACGCGATTATTGTTGCGAGCTCGATTTAAATCTTTATCTTCCCGTTCTACTCGAGTGGTGAAAAATCTCTTAATAAAAGAAAATAGGAAACAGTGTGGGCAAACTTCCAAACAGATACTGTTACATTGCCGAGCAAGGTCAAAATAAATTTCGACTTCCTCTGTCTGTTGAAGATTTAATTTAATTGGATGTCTATTTTAAGCACTTTGCTATTATTGTTTTTATTGTTGTAACAACAAAACGGAAGTCTTTAAAATCCTCGAACTTTTGTAGCAAACGACACTGGTGATAAAAATCTGCAGATGGCGTGGAGTTTAAGCCAATTTCCATAAAACAGAAATAAATTTCTAAATGGGACACAAGAAGATATATGTCGGATGTACAGAATATTGGTAACTGTAAATAAATAACAAAAATGTGTTCGAAGAAAAACCGGGAAACTTGTGTCCGTGTGTAATTTTTTTTCTCCAGAATAACTGAATATTTTTTGGAATATTATTATTTATTGTCGATTCTGTCTGATTCAATCACAGTTTGCTCGAATAAAATGAAATTAAAATTAAAAATGTTGCTGTTATTGTCGTTCGAAGGAAATCCATTAAAAAAATACCGACAAGAGATTGATTTTCTGTCCATAATTTATTCTTTTCGTTGCATTAACAACTTGAAATGAAAATTGTTTCTTGACTTTTTTAATTATTTCAACTGGATTAAAATTTTCATAAAGTCGTGTTGCTCACAAAATAAAATCCTCATGACTTGTCAACAACCGGCTATAAATTTTATGACACTCATTTATCCTGAAGCCCGAAGCACTCGTGAAAAAATCTGTCTTTATTCCGGCGGCGTTTATCGCGTACTCGAGATACTCGGAAAACAGCGAATATAAGTGAGGATAGTGGTAGTTTATTGAATTCATCTCACGTCCTATAAATCTCACGATGGTGCTCAACGAAACATCCTCAGATCGAAATCGTATGTGTGTACAGCGTAAAACGCAATAAATTTCAATTCGTGAAAATCTCTTCACGTTTACGTGTCCGTTTTTATTAGTTGCAACAAAAAGGTTGCGAACTAATTCAAACACCGCCGGTTCGAGATCCCGACGCAATTTATATAAAACCGCAGCCCCTGCAAAGCGAAACGCCGCTAAATTTCATTAGAGTTATCTTCGTCACATATTTTGGTTTATTTGGAGTCGATGTTTGACTTTGGAGAGGTGAATTTTGAGCGAATAATGCGTGTCGCGGGACGAGCTAAACGTGACGGGGTATATTTTTCTTTCCGAGCGTAAGCTAAGTGAGTATAGTATTCGAGTCCATCGAGCGACTGGCTACTTTCATGTGTTCTCGGCGTTTATGACCCCAAGAGTAGGAAAAATAGGTCCCCGTTTCCGTCTGTCTGTCCGCCGTAAGATATGTACCAATTTTTCGATTACTCGGTTTGTCGAATTTTTGATTTCTCATCTTTTCGATTTCACTTATTCAATTTGTCAGTTTTCAATTTTTAAATTACTCAATTTTTCGATATTTCACTGTTGGGATGTTCAATTTTTCCATTCTCCAAATTCTCCATTTTTCAAAATTTTCGATTTTCCGATTTTCCCGTTTTTAGATTTCTCAATTTTCCAGTGTTTCAGTTTTACGATTTTTCAATTTTTCGATTTGTCAACTTCTGTTTAATCGATTTCCTCAATTTCTTGATTATTGAAATTTTAGATTTCTCGGTTTTTTATTTTTCGATTTCCCAATTTTTCGATGTTTCAGGTTTGCGATTTTTCAGTTTTTCGATTCTCAATTTTTCGATTTTTTAATTTTTCAATTTCTCAATTTTTGACGTCTTCATATTTTAGATTTTTCGCTTTCTCGATTTTTAGATTTTACAGTTTTTTAATTCTTCAATTTTTCGACTTTTCAATTTTTTGATTTTTAATAATTTTCTATCGATGATTTATAGATTTTTCTTCATTTAAAATTTTTCAGTTTTTCAATGTTTTGTCATTTCAGTTTTGGAATTTTTCAATTTCTCGGTTTTTCAGGTTTTCGACTCTTCAATTTTTCGATTTTTTAAATTCCGGATTTTTCCATTTCACGGTTTTTCAATTTTTCTACTTTTTGGATTTTCGATCTTTCAATTTTTGGATTTTTAATTTTCAGGTTTATTTCAATGTTTCGATTTTTTTGATTTTTTATGATTCGACTTCTCGAATTTTCAATTTTTCTTGGATTTTTCGATATTTCAGTTTTGGGATTTTTAATATTTTGATTCCTCAGTTTCTCGATTCTTCAAATTTTCCAGATTTTTTCATTTTTCTATTTCTCAATTTTCCGATGATTCAATTTTTTGATTCTTTAATTATTCGATTTAAAAAATTTTCAATTTCTCAATTCTTGATGTTTCCAAATTTTAGATTTTCCGCTTTCTCCATTTCTCGATTTCTCGATTTTTAGGTTTTCCAATTTTTCAATCATTCAATTTTTCGACTTTTCAATTTTTCACTCAGGTTTTTAATTTTTCAGTTTTTGGATTTTTTATCATTTTCGACAGATGATTTTTCAATTTTTTTTACTTTTAAATTTTTCAGTTTTTCACTTTTTGACTTTTCGATTTTTCGATTTTGGGATATGAAGAAAAAGGACAAAAAGGACGAAAAGGACGAAAAGTACGAAACGGACTACAAGGACGAAAAGGACGAAAAGAACAAAAAAGGCGTAAAGGACCAAAAAACGAAACGGAAGAAAAGAACGAAAAGGACGAAAATGACGAAAAGGACGAAACAGGACGAAGAAAGACGAAATAGGACGAAAAGGACGAAAAGGACGAAAGAGGACGAATAAGGAAGAAAAAGGTTTAATAAGGACGAAAAATGTCGAAAAAGGATGAAGAAGGACGAAAGGACGAACAGGACGAAAAAGGACAAATAAGGATGAAAAAGGACGAAAAAGAACGAAAAAGGACGAATAGGACGAAAAGAATGAAAAAGGACGAAAGAGAACGAAGGGCGGTAAAGGACGAAGAAGGACGCAAAAGGACGAAAAGGACGAAATAGGACGAAAAAGGTCTAAAAAGGACGAAAATGGTCGAAAATGGACGAAAAAGAACGACAAAGGACGAAAAGAATGAACAAGACGAAAGAGGACGAAAAGGGACGAGAAATTAGACAAAACATTAAAAAACTGAAAAATTTAAAATGAAGAAAAATCATTAAATCATCGATGGAAAATTTTACAAATCCAAAAATTGAGAACTATAACACCTGAAAAACTGAAAAATTGAAAAGTCAAAAGATTGAAGAATTGAAAAACTGTAAAATCTAAAAATCGAGAAAGCGGAAAATCTAAAATTTGGAAACGTCAAAAATTGAAAAATAGAAAAATAAAAAAATCGAAAAATTCAGAAATAGAAAAATTAAAAAAATCGAAAAATTGAGAATCGAAAAATTGAAAAATCGAAAAATTGAGAATCGAAAAATTGAAAAATCGCAAAACTGAAATATCGGAAAATTGGGAAATCGAAAAATAAAAAAACCGAGAAATCAAAAATTTCAATAATCAAGAAATTGAGGAAACGAAGTATTAAAAACCTAGAACTTAAATACACAAAAATTGACAAATCTAAGACAAACTGGAAAATCGAAAACTTGAAAAATAAAACCTGAAAAATCCGAAAATTGGATAGTCGAAAAAGTAAAGAATGGAAAAACTGGAAAATCTAAAATAGTACAAAATTTACAAAATAGAAGAATTGAAAAATTGAACAATCGACAAAAATGAAAAATCACAAAACTGAAACGACGAATAATGGAAAAATTGAAAAATTGGAAAATTTAAGTATCGAAAACCTGAAAAATCGAGAAATTTAAAAATTCCAAAACTGAAATGACGAAAAATTGGGAAACTGAATAATTGAAAATTCGAACTTTCCCTAATTTATTGTTTTGTCGTTTCAGTTTTGGAATTTTTCAATTTTTCGGTTTTTCAGGTTTTTAACTCTTTCATTTTTCACTTTTTCTACTTTTTGGCTGCTCGATTTTTCAATTTTTCGATTTTTAAATTTCAGCTTTTCAATTTCTCAATGTTTCGTTTGTTTGATTTTTTCATGATTCGACTTTTCAATTTTTCTTGGATTTTTCAATTTTTCGATATTTCAAGTTTCATTTTAAAATCTTCGGATTCTGAAATTAAAATTTTTTGTATTTTTGATTAATTAATTTAAAAAAATGTTTGTTTTCCGTTTTTTCAATTTTTCGATTTTTCAATTTAAAATTTTTTCGATATTTCAAGTTTCATTTTTCAATTTTTGATTCTCATTTTTTCGGTTTTTTCAATTTTTCTTTATTTTTTCAATTCTTTGACTTCTCAATTTTTAATTTTTTTGATTTTCAGTTATGGGATTTTTAATATTTTGATTCCTCAGTTTCTAGATTCTTCAAAATTTTGATTTCTCGATTTTAAACATTTTTCTATTTCTCAATTTTCCGATGTTTCAGTTGTTGCAATTTTTCA